AATAGAGGAATATGTTGTTTAAGTTTATGGTAATTATCCTCTTTAAGTATACTACATCTTGCTGTCAAATATTTCCCCAAATACTTGACCTTATTCATGACTTGGATCTTCAAAGTTCCCGCCAATTCTTCCTTTTGTCTTAATAAGATGTTCTTTGTCAAAATCTTCATTTTGTCTTTATTTATTTTCAAACCTGCTACTTTCCCATATTCCTCTATTTTTTCTATCAATTTAGGTGCAGTTTCTAATGGGTCCTCTTAAGATGAAGACCAGGTCATCTGCAAATGCCTGCAATTTATATTCTTCCTTTTTAATTTTCATTCCTTTTATGTCTTTTTCTTCTCTAATGTTTCTATTTAGGACTTCTAATGGTAAGACAAACAGTAGAGGCGATAGTGGACAACATTGTCTTGTCCCTTTCCTTATTTCAATAGAGTCTGTCAGTTCTTCGTTTATCATTATCTCTGCTGTTTGTTTGTGTATATAGTTTATATGGCTTGGGTGAATTTCTTACCAAAGCCCATCTGTTTCAGCTGTAGCAACATAAATCGCCAGTTCACATTGTCAAAGGCTTTCTGTGCATCTAAGAACATTAAAGCCATTTGTTTTTCAGAATATGCCTCATAATATTCCAAAGTGTCCAGAATTATTCTCATGTCTTTAATTTGTCTCTTTGGCAGAAAGCCATTTTGATCAGGGTGAATAAAGTTATTTAAATATTTTTTAAATCTTTCTGCCAATATTGAAGCAAATATCTTATAGTCTGAATTTAGCAGGGAAATAGGTCTATAGTTCTTAATTTGAAGTGGGCCGGCTTCCTCTTTTGGTAGAAGTGTGATATATGCTTCTGACCACGATTTGGGTATCCTCATCTTTAACATAACTTCATTCATAACTTCTAGTAGTGGAAGACACAATGATTCGTGCAGTGTCTTATAAAATTCCACTGGCAATCCATCCGGACCTGGAGCTGTTCCATTGTTTTGTTTTTTAAGTGCTTCAATTAACTCCATCATTGCTATATTGCCTTCTAGCATCATTTCAGTTTATTTAGGTATCCGGGATAGATTCATTTTCTGCTAATATTGTTTAGTTCCTCCCTCTCCTATATTCTCTTGTTCATATAATTTTCCATAGTAATCTTGTATAATTTTTTCTTCTCTTCATTTCTGTTGCAAATTTGCCCTTGATCATCTATTAATTGCATTATTTTTCTTGATTCTCTCCCTTTTTTCAATTTATACGCTAACCATCTGCCTGGTTTATTTTCATTTTCAAAGTAATTCTGTTTAGCAACTCTAATTTTTGTGCTAGTTCCCCCTTTTCCATTAACTCCATTTTATGTTTAATTGTGTCCATTTTTATTTTAATGTCATTTTTTGTGGAGATTTCTGTAACTCTTTTTCAAGTCTCTTACAGTCGTCATCTAGTATTTTAAAGCCTTGTCTTTTCTTTNCAGAGGCTGGCCGCCGACATCAGGCAGCCTGCCCAGGATCCGCCGCAGTTCCAGCGCACCGTTCTATCACTGGCCTTCCCTGAGTCAGGCCACCCCTGCCCGGCCGCTGGGTCACCGCAGCCCCCAGCACAGCCCCCAGCAACCGCTCAATCCGCCTTCGCATTCCCTTCTTCCGCCCAGTTAGGCCTTCCATTGTCAGGCCCTTCCCACCCCCTGGCCGCTTACCGGCCTGTTCAAAATCAATCGCCTCTTCCAGCCATGTCCCCTCCGCCCGGCCTACCTTCTTCTAGGGCTCCGCCTCCTGGTCTAGGCCGCAGTGACATCACCCGGAGCTCCACTCCCTCCAGGGAGGAGCTCTCACAGGGACGTCTTCACTCTCTGGCGCCGCCTCTTCAACTGAGGCATTCTGGGCCTGTCTGCCGTCCGCCCGCCTACCTGCAAGAGTACGCATGTGCCACTCTTGACGCATGCGCCCTCGCTGGGGGGGAAGAGGTGTTAAGTCCTCGGACTTACGAATGATAGCTCGGCAACAGCCAGGCCGCTGGAGCCAATCAGGCACGACCTGAAGTTGCCGGGCTGTCATACGCGCGGCTATTGGTTTCCCTGTCTGACAGCTCCGCATAAATAGCTGTCAGACAGGGAGTGGGTGCCGGTCTACTGTTCTTGTTTGCTGTTGCCTGTAATAAAAGTTGGTTGACTTTACCTTTACCTCAGACGCCTCCCGCCTGGTTCTTTCCGAGAATCCAACAGGGCGAGTGCCTGTCAGCATCTTTGCCTCCTTCCTCCAAGAGCCGCAGTGAGGATGGCCTCAAGTGTCATCCAGGGACAGCCCTCAGAGGAGCCCGAAACAAAGCATCAGCGAGGAAGGAGTCTCTGGTGGCTGCAGAAGCGGTGGGGGCGGCTTAAGCACAATTGCGGGCAGTTAGTTCCAACTCTCCCTTCCCCAAGCATGTTCCATTGCTTCTGGCGCCGCTTTTGGTGAATCTGGCTTAATGGTGGAGCTCTTGCCATCGTTGAGAGCATCGCTAGCAGCTGCTTCTTGCCATCGCTGCCGAGTCGATTCACCAAAAGTGGTGCCAGCAGCAACAGGAAGCAACATGCTCGAGGAAGAGAGAGCCAGAACTGAGAGCCCACAAAATAGGCAGTAAAATTTTATGAAACCCACCTCTGCTGCACAAGCATAAAGGCACCCTCTCTCAATTCTTCGGAGCCTTACCTAATTGTTCCCAAGAGAGAATTTCCAGACTAAGAAGATTCCTCTATTACAGGTGGAACATAATGAAGTATTTGGCTTAAACTTTGCATATGGGGGTCTTATTCGTGCCTGAATGTGTAATTGCAGTATGACAAAAAATATTAAACTTATAGGGAACAATCATATTCTCATTCAGTTAATATGAATCAAATGTGAATCAAATCATGGAATAAATAGGAAAATATTACTTATATTGCTAATATATTATAGTTTAGCTAAGGACTATTATTGCCTATCTCATTTAAGGACTGGTATAAATAGAAGCAAATAGCAGAAAATATATTTGCATATCTGCAAAAGAGAGAAAAGTCAATAAAATCAGTTTTAAAAAGTTAATCATTCTTTATTATTTACAGGAGATCCTCTGAGAGCTGTTGGTGTTGATTTTCTCAGGTATGACAACACCCGTCTTCATCATACCAATGAGTTTTCCCATAGTAGCTTAATTGTGAGACGTGGACAAGAATTTCGGCTAAAAGTGACATTTAGTAGGGAACTGCAAGACAATGACAAAGTCACTCTACAGCTGAGTATTGGTAAGCATTGGCAACTACTATCAAAAGATATCAAGTGTGATATATTGATGTAAAATATAATAAACAATAAAATGAAATGGATTATGGAACATAACATTAGCTTTTTAGACTAGCTAAATGATTTAATCCACACACACACACAACATTCCTTGCCATGGTATCAAATTGGTCTACTTACAATTTTTTTAGGATGTACATTCACAACTGAGTTTTCATCTTGGGGCTGACTGCTGCTAAAAAAAACTGCAGATAGAATCTAGTATAAAACTAATGTTTTCTTTTAAAAAATGGAACAAGCTCCCTATATGAATAGTGTGTAACCTGGAGGATGAGTCTAAGGAAAACTAGATGTTGGCAGGACACCAGCTGCTTACATTGAGACTGGATCCTCCATCAAACTGAAGGGGTCAGTGCCTTTATATAAATTCTGTTTTGGTTATTGGACTAATCAGAGCTTAACTAGCAGTCAAAGGATTTGCTTGTTTTATTTTTCAGGAGGCTATTGACCTTGTAGAAAACTTTCTACAAAGTTGATACAATATTCCATTTTGGAACACCTGCCTACACACTAAAATTAACTCAATTGTGTCTAGCTCAGGACATCATGTTTTCTGATTCTCCCACCTTTGCTTTTCCAACCAGTTGCTCTAATCCTCAAAGGCAATTACACATACAATCCAAGTAGCTGCTATGGTCTGGATTCCACAAGTCACCAAACAAACAAAAAGCAGCAAGCTGGTAGATCTGAAGTGATTGCTGAACTCCAACTCCTAATTGCCTCTTCATGAGGTACAATTAGAGAAGACTCCTGAGAGCTGAAACCAGGCAATTTCTTAGGGGAAGGGGTGAACTTCCCTGCTCCTATGATAAGAAAAAGGATGGGAAGAGGAATTAAGGGAGAAGCTCTGTCTTGCATTTTACATTAGTATCCCATCTCCTTTTAGCTATCCATTAGCTCCAAAATTGTTTTCTTATCCAGACGGTAGCTGAGTTCTTTGGGTTTAAGCTATTAAATAATGTTTCTCAACCCATTCTGTTCTTTCAACATAATGTTGCTATTCACTTTCATTGAGTTGGGTGATTATAGAAATTGAATAAATAAAATAAATAAATTTATACCATAGCTCATAAAATCTTTCAAAGTGGTATTTTATTAAAGGACAATTTGTACAGGACTACATCAAACTGCAGATGCTCTTCAATGGCCTATTACACCAACAAAGACAATTTGGACAGTTTCTTATCTCTCTGCAGTAAAAACTAAACATAGCCATTCCTATTATGTAGCAATTACAGGTAGTCCTTGACTTAGGACCACAATTGAAACCAAAATTTTTGTTGCTAAGTGAATCATTAAGTGAATTTTGCCCCATTTAATGACTTTTCTTGCCATCTCTGTTAAATAAATCACTGCAATTATTAAGTTAGTAATATGGTTGTTATGTGAATCTGGCTTCCCCATTGACTTTGCTTGTAAGAAGATTGCAAAAGGTGATCACATGACCCTGAGATACTGCAACCATCATAAATATGAGTCAGTTGCCAAGCATCCACATTTTTAAAAAGTTTTTATTTTTAGACAAACATAGACAAACAAAACATAAAACCTTCTTAAATTACATACAGTGTGTCGATTGGTTACAAGGTTTTTGTGCATCCTTTCCATAATCATCACTTACAATTTATATGAAATCACATATTATCAAGTCAAATATATTTGTATACCTTATTATCATTGTACCACATTTATTTAACTATCACTATTATTGCTTCATTTTAAACAAGATATTCTAAATATTGGATTCATTTATATTATAACAATTCATTACATCATCTTAAATCTATCCAATAATAATATATCTTTATGTTATATTCTGTATCATTTTATTATTCTCGTATTTATAACATTCTCTAACATTTTTTATCTAACCACTGATAAAATAAATCCCATATCTTATAAAATTGTTTATCTTCCTGTTCTTTAATTTCAAATGTCAATTTACTCATTTCAGCACATTCCATTATTTTATCAATAACATCTTCTTGCGTTGGTATTTCCTCATTTTTCCAATTTTTAGCAAATACAATTTTAACTGCTGTTAACACATTTACAATCAAATGTTTCAATTCTCTATTGTATGTTTCCAGTATAATTCCCAATAGAAAGATTTCTGGTTTAAAGTCTATATGTTTTTATGTCATTTTATTCCAACCAGGTGTGGATTTTAGTTCAATGTCTTTTAGCTTCTACGCAAGTCCACCACATATGGTAATATGAACCCGGTATCTGATGACATTTCCAACACTTTTCCAATTTATTCTTGCTATTCTCGTTGGGGATAGGTGCCACCTGTAAAACATCTGATACAAATTTTCTTTATATGCTGATGACATTGTCATTTTATAATTTTGAGACCATAATTTCTGCCAATTCTCTAAGTCAATCCCATGTCCAAAATTTCCCCCCAAGCAATCATAGATTCTTTAACTTGTTCTTCTTCTAACTTAACCTCTAGTAGGTGTCTATATAATTTTTTAATCACCTTTTCATCAGTACCTATCAAAAGTTTATCTAACTCAGTCATTTTATCATGGAAACCTTCCATTTTAAGATCTTTGTCATATCTGGAATGTATTTACGCATATGAAAACCAGTTCATCTTTATATCTTGCTGTTTCAGTTCTTGCATAGATTTAAGTTCACCCTTTGCATTCAATATTTCACCATATCTAACTGTTTGTTCCTTTTTGTATGTTACTGGATATGAAAAAGCTTCAATAGTTGATAACCAGACTGGAATTTTTAAGTAATGTTGCTTCTTAATCTTTTCCCAATTTAATAGCAAAGCCTCGCATATGTAATGTCTTCTAAAATATCCCTGCGTTTTAGTTCCCTTGTACCATAAGAAAGTGTGCCATCCCAACAGCAAATCATGTCCTTCTACAGTCAATAATCTATAGTTTCTTAATGTTATCCATTCCTTTACCCACATCAAACATTAGCTGATAGTATAACTCCCAGTTAGGTAGACCAAATCCTCCTCTTGTTCTAGCATCTTGCAACAATTTTGATTTTATTCTCACTTTCTTTCCCTGCCAAATATACTTCAATGCTATTTTGTTTAAATTGTCAAAATATTTTTCCCTAGTCTAATTGGAAATGTCTGGAATAAATATAAAATCCTGGGTAATATATTCATCTTGATTGTTGATATTCTCCCTATTATTGATAATTGAAAATTTTCCCATTTTGCCAAATCTGTCGCAACCTGTTGTTTAAGTTTATGGTAATTGTTCTCTTTAAGTGTACTACATCTTGCTGTCAAATATATCCCGAAATACTTGACTTTTTTCGTGACTTGGATCTTCAAAGCTTCTGCCAATTTTTCCTTTTGTCTTAATAACATTCTTTGTCAAGAACTTTGTTTTGTTTTTATTTATTTTCAAACCTGCTACTTTTCCATATTCCTCTATTTTTTTCTATCAATTTAGGTGCAGTTTCTAGTGGGTCCTCTAAGATGAAGACCAGGTCATCTGCAAATGCCTGCAATTTATATTCTTCCTTTTTAATTTTCATTCCTTTTATGTCTTTTTCTTCTCTGATGTTTCTATTTAAGACTTCTAATGTTAAGATGAACAACCGAGGTGATAGTGGACAACCTTGTCATGTCCCTTTCTTTATTTCAATACAATCTGTCAATTCTCCATTTATCATTATCTTTGCTGTTTGTTTATGT